CTGCCAGGACAGAAGCCTTCAAATCCTTAATTGGCGTGCTCACTGGTGACACCGCGTCCTGGAACGTCTACTTCGCGGATTTGGCTGATGTCTTCGGCGCGGACGCGGATGACATAACTTTGAACCGGCGCGCAGTCTCTCACCTCGAGCAGGCTGATAATGTGGTCCTATTTTCCACCACTGCAGCCGGGTTACAGCGAAAACTCGACCAATTTTTTCGTTGGTGTAAGGTCAACTTCATGGTCATCAGCGCAACGAAAAGTTTTCGAAAACAGAGTACTAGTGGATGATATTCGGCGCTCTTCCTACATCCCTCCGATGCTGGTCGGCACAAAACTCATAAAACTCGTCAAGAGCTATAAATTTGTGGGCGTACTGTTCTCCTCCGTGGACCGCGACATCTTCGTGGCTCATTATTCCAAAAAAGCGTCCAAGGTCAGAGTGGTTGCTAACACGACGTTCGCGGCGAAAACGATGATCGGCTGCCTGACCGTCCCGAATCAGGCTGTACATAGCCCGAATAGACCCGCATCTAATATTCGGATGCGAAGTCTGCTTAGACGTCGTTGCTACGCACCTGCAGGAGCTGACTGATGTCCAGCACGAGTAGATCCGGCGGCTCCTCGGTGTCCACAGCCATTCCATTCTGTCCGTTCTCTTCACGGAAACCGGTATCATTCCCTTGTGTTATCGTCGCCCAATATTGGCTTTGGGATACCTCGTTTATCTCATTACGTTGTCGCCAAATCACCTCGCCAACGCCGCGTATATGGACGCGCTTCTCCTCGCTGCTGATGGATATCCATCCTGGATCTCGGACCTGCGTCATGTTCTGCGATCACTGCCTGTCCCGGTGGAGCTTCCCAACGGCACACCAACAGCTGATGATGTTGACGCCGTCCGGAAAGCCGTGAGAGCTGCGTGCGAGACATGGCTGGGCGGCTTGACGGTGGAGCACTCCTCGCGCCTGCCACTGATCCAAGGCCGCCTAGAACGCGACGAAGGGGGTAACTTCGTACAGATGCCTCTGAAATTGCGCCAGTATTTCCGGGTCCCAGTTCCGGCACACAGAAAAGCACTCATGCGCGCCACTCTCAAGGCACAGATTCAGCGCGAGCGCGCCACCGCCTCCGCTATCACAAAGCCACAGCCTCGCACCTCCTTGGTCGCCTCTATAAACCGCAGTGCCTTCCGCAACAGGAACCACGGCAAGGCTGCTGCCGCGCCTGTGCGCGTCAAACTCGAGCCCACCGCAGATGGGTTATCGATGGAGGGCATCGCGAGGCCGAGCACCGTCTCCTTCCAAGGCCCGAGCACCAGCGCGTCAGCACGCAAAAAGCGCGCCTGTCCGTTTCTTTTCCACACCTTCCCTTTGGTTGTCGTTGACCGTCGCATAGATCGTTATATGCACGAAAAACCCTCCGAGCGCGGGGATAGTGCGTGCTTTCTCTTTCGCGTGCATCATAAACTGAGGCTGCCGTAGTGCTCGACGACAGAATAGATGAATTCGCAGAGCGCATCCGCCAGCACTACGATCTCAGCGACCTTGGTGATCCTTCGTCTTCCACCTCCGTGCGTGACTCCCCCCAGTCCCAACTATTCACTATTTGACTGTGCGCAGGACGACTCGGACGTCACTGTCGTAGGCCGGGTAGTGCAGGACGACGACGCTGCGGAAGACTCGGCGAAGCTCGCCGACGGCGCCATCGCTCTCGAATCTTCCCGCTCCATGGGAAATGGCGTACGCGTTCCTCTTCGCTTCCATGCGAATTTGAAAATATGCGGCGGGGCGCAGGGCAGTGGCAGCGGCATCTTTTTCTCTGGCGCCATTGCTGCCCTGCGCGGCAAGAACGGTGGCGGTGGTTACTTCCAGGTATCCTATCGAGCGTTCCACCGTGTCTCGACGAAAAATAGCTTAATCAAAATTCTGTCTTAACACATTATACTGTTTCGAATTCCAAGGAGATCTGCCTACTCAGTTTTTTCGAATGTCCTTTCTTTGTCATAAAAAATTGAAAATGGCGGGACACCCTAAAAGGCATACAGAAACACCGTTTCATCAAGATCTCTATCGGTCACAGGGATATAAAAATTCTGTCTTAACATAACACAGATATACCTGTTTCGAATGAGACTGTCTCTTACGATTTACCCTAGCATGGCGGTAGAAGCCAAAAACTTGAAAATTGGCCGCACCACCAGAATTTGCGGCGTTACGACCGATCTCACAATATCTCGAGAACAAGGTGGCAGGTAAAGATTCTGTCTTGACATAGCATTACTGGGGAATTTTATAACAAGATTATTACTTCAGTTCTGCCTCACAGAAGCTAGAGAAGGCAATCTTGAAAAAGGTGCTGTGTGTCGACCCAATCGGGAATTACTTGAGAACAAACACATACGACTTTGGTGTTATGTCCTGGCAGGTTTTTGAAAAAAAACTTTTTTCAAAAAACTCCTGTAGTGGGACCAGGGATGCCTATAGCCGTAGACATCACGTTGCTTGTGTAGTGTCGTTGTAAGGATGCAGAGAAGGTTACCCACGTGCTCGCTACCCCTACGTGGGTTCGAATCTCATTAGTTGTGTTCTTTTTTCCTTTGTCGAACCTCTTTTTTTTCTCTCTCCAGATTCCCGCTCCTCGGCTTTTTGCTTCTCCCTCCGCACACCTCACTGATCATTCTTGTTCACAGTTAGTAAACGAGATATTTAAATAAAAACAGCGCTACAAGAGCCTCAAAAAATCAGAAAAGCCCATCACAACCGAGCCACCAGTGACCATCGAAAAATTGGTCGGCGGGCACAAGAACCGTAAGAAATGGGCTGATTCCCATGTCAAAAGCCTCGTGGTTCTAACCTGCAGAGAATGTGCACTCGTGAGAACAGCTGTAAATCCCTGAACCTACCGACCTCCGCTCCTCTGTTACCCCCGGGATCCGTTCTCATCCACCTCGTTGGTAGCTTCCGAGGTAAGTGTATCGTATTGGTATTGGAGAGCGGACCGCTGCTGGTTGACCAGGTCCTTCATTATCGAGGTCAACGGCCTTTCCCTCCGAAATAAAACCAATATTTACCTAGATCTGATCTTCTAAGAGGGCGGACGGGACTTTCCAGAGAGGGAGAACCTGTTGCAAAAGATTAATTGGTTTTCCTCATAGTGGGTCCATGTGTACCTGGGGCGCACCGCGCAGGCAGCGGCAGGACTCTGTTTCTCTGCGATTGTAAGGGGAACATGGCCATCAGCACGCTTACGTCACCGGCCCGTGTTCGGCCCTACGGGTTCCTACGTAGTCATCACCGCTTACATCACTCCTGTATATATAGTGGTCGCTGGGGACCTTGATCCCCAGCTTCGTTCTCAACTAGGCCCCGGGCACCTTCTCCCCTCACAGCGATGCTCTTTAGCAATGGTGGGAAAGTGTCCAGGTGTGGGGAGCGAGATGTGATGTGCGTACATGTACGTGGCCTGCAAATGGCAAGTTTGCCAGCTGAGGAGTTGTGTTAACTGCGTTATGATGGGAAGTAAATAAAGATCTCGGCGGCGTGTTGACCATCCACCCGTTGCACACATTTGATCCTCTCCCAAGTCGTAGCCTACGCACGCTCACGGACTCTGGAAACGTGCATGCGCCTGCCCGCCATGCACTTCCTTCCCCGACCACTACACCTCCGCCCCTCCAACTCCGTCGCGCATCAGACCACACGAGCCACGCACGGCCAAAGTGTGGAGCAACCCGCTTGAAAGGGGTGCGCTGGACGTCCTCATCTGCGACGCGCGCTCCGCTGCCCCATTTGCAGACTCTACGCCAAGTGACACAACGTCGCACTGGCCCGTTCTACGTGCTCTGCGACCAAGTGTAACGCCATCGCTGCAGGCCCGGACTCCAGTACCTGCGCTTCCCCAGTCTTCCGAGGGGAGCGAGCTCCCCGAGTTAGAGTGTCATTTGCACGTGCACACGTCACTGTGCCGCCCTGCGCCATCACAGCACTCACCTGGCGCGCACGCCACCATTTCGCAGGGCGTACGGAGGAAAGTGGGCTTGGCACTACCCACAGACAGTAAATGAGCGTAGACACAGGACATCTGATAAAAAGGACGAGACATACCTGGACATGACCAGTTGGGTGCACAAGGCTTGTTCAAGTAGAGGCCATTACAGCCAGCAATGCAGAGTTGAGATGTACAGAAGCCTCGGCCGGCGGAGGAGTTGAGGTTGTATGTGCATTTCAAAAGGTCAATACTTTGAATCTTCAATAGAGCCGATGTGACGGGTTCAGACGTCTGCAGATATGAAATACATTAAAAAAAAGTGGTGCCCAGAAGTGTTGAAGGCGCAGGTGGGAAGGCAGTGACAGTGGAGAGCAAAAGAGAATGAGTTGCAGCGAAGAGAGGTGCCGTGGGAACAACTGCCTGTACTTGGACATAGAGTCATGCCCAAATTAGGGCATAACGGCTGCCAGGGCACTGCACCAGAGTCACACATACAAGCTGTAACGATCATCAATCGCCGGACGCGGCCCAACACCATTCAGTGAAGAAAGTTTCTGGCAGATGTTTACGAAATCATGCCGAACTTTCCTCGCACTTGGCCCTCCGTCGACGCTTTTCTCATCACACTCCTGCAATGTCGTGATTTCAATGTGATTCAGCAGACATCAGCAAACCCTCATCAGCAAACCCTGGGTGTGCTACCTAGGTCTACATAGTTCCTGTAGTTGTCATAGCTCCTGTATTTACCATAGGAAGGGTACCCTCTACATAGTTCTCCATAGTTTGGTGGGAGTGCTACATAGTTCTCCATAGTTTTAAGCAGTACTACATAGTTCTGTGTAGTTTGGTGGTTTGCGATGCTTTGAACAAAATATGATTAGCAAATAAACTATGGCCTCTTCCGTTTTATTGACTGATGGTGTTAAGTACTAACTTCCTGATTTTTACCGTACGAAGGGCATCTATTATAGAAGTACATACAACTATTATTAAACAAGCTTGCAAATAAAGTGACTTCTGCCTGAGTCGAACCGGCGACCACTGGGGGCACAATGCAAGAGTGCAGCATAACCACTGAGCCACACAACCATTAAAGCACACAGTAGGCTGTTCAATATAAGGGGTCAACTCCCTCCCAAAAACTAACTGTCTGCTCCCTGATACAACTTCGGTAACATCATCATATAGATAGTGATAAGTTCCAAACTAAAGTACCAAAACTCACAAAGCTCCACAAAGTCATCTAGCAATTTCCCTCTAAAGCCTTTGCTTTACTCAGCTGTAAAACACAAAATAAATTCATAGAGCTATTCTGAACACCAGAGAGACACTTTGCTCACGCCGCCGTCAACAGTTCTATTAAACTGGCCGCTTTGGGTAAAAAATCATGGGCAAAAGATCTAATGTCTGCCGCCTCTAAGCTTCCATTTGCATGCCCGGGCCCGGATCTTGCGAATGCAACGTCTGAATCCATTTTGGATTATGCCAAGTCCGTGGATAAAATTAATGCTGCAATGGATTCAGGAACAAGTCGACTCCTCAGAGAAGCTATACCTGATACAGGGACATTGTGAACCTGAGAAGGACAAACCCCCAGCACCGCAAACTTTAAAGCTACGGCATTATCTGTTGATGGTTAAGACACAGAAGCACAGAGCAGCTCTTACCTCTCTTCTGCTGTCCACCCATCTACTTGCCGTGGAAATTTTGCGCTGGGGAAATCATGGTCTACAACGAGAACCTGACCGTTCCAGACGGGTCTGCCAGGTCTGCTGGTTCTGCAAATTGAAAGTTGAAACTCCTGAGCATGCCCTCTTGGAATGTGATACCTCTCCTGAGGTTACCACCCTTAGAATCGCTTATTTGGACCAACTCTTCAAAACTGCACCAACCTTGCGCCCTCTCATGGATGATTTGAACTTGATCGAGTTCTTTAAATCCATGGTTTATGAACGTTCCACTATTCCACTATTGCTCTCGTTGCTAAATTTTCTCATGAAGTTCTCGAGGTGTTCTATGTGACTCCAGTATTTAGGCTAGCTGCGTGAGGTACTAATGCTCATTTCTGTCTTTATTTTGCTTCAGGTATCGACTGGGTTCTACAGCATGACAGGAGACCGGGTGCGTGAGCTCGGCTTGGAAGAGGTCGAGGACAATGGGGTACATACTATGCCTGTAGTACTATTCCAGGATACTTCTTGAAACTGGTGTTCCTAAGCGGGACCATGCCACGTAATGCTACCTACCTACCTACCTACCCAATATTTGTCAGGATTTCAACAGGCCTACGGCCCCAAAATTGGCCCAAAATGTCAGGATTTTTGCATCAGGCCTAATTTTTCCCCCCAAATATGTCATTTTTCGAAATTTGACCAGGCCTTCTATGCTCAGAGATGTGTTTTGTCAGGATTTTGAACAGGCCTAGCAGCCAAAATTTCCCGAAAATGTCAGGATTCACATCAGGCCTACAGACTGTTAACAACTGAACATCGAGCTACGCGTCAACCCAACACTGAGACCGCACGTGTAAATTATTTTCCGCTGACACATTTCCTCTCACTGGTTCTTACGACGAACTCTGTGAGAGGTATGTCTATCTATTCACTATTTACACTATGGACACTTATTATTAATATAGCTTGTACTTACTGTGTTCGTACAGGTCTCCTCGGTTTATAGGTTATAGGGCCCCGAGCAGCGCTTGAATCCACGCGCAACCAGTCAACCAGCCCTGCAATATGTCGGGCACAACAAAATTCCAGTCCTTCGATAACCTCGTGTACGAAGAAGACAGATCTCCGGACTCTTGGCCGACATGGGAAACCCAATGTCAGGCCGCACTCGTTCTAGCAAACTTATGGGGTTACATCTCAGGCCGTGGTGTTGTCATTCCACCCCAGCAGATCAATGACACCTCGACACCGCCGGTTTTGATTAATAACCCAAAATACGAGGAGTGGATTGATGAGAATCTTATCGTCCTTTCATGCATCCATCTACGCCTCGGGAAGAAGGACCTACGTCTTATCAAGGACGAAGTCATCGCGAAAAAGGCTTGGGATGCACTTAAAGTCGCTCACCAACCCTCGGGAGCACTGTCCCAGCTCACGATCCTGCAGGAAGCACTCGCACTTCGATACTCCCAGGAGACTGCCCTCGTGAAGGTCACGGAGAAGCTCGACACTCTTGTCGACTCCTTCTTTGCCGTCAGAGCACCCACCGAGGACGAATGGCGATGCATCATTTACCTCAACGCCATGGCCGGCGCTGATTTCAAAGATGCTCGCTCGTCGCTTGACACCTTGCTCAGTTCCGGATCATTATCCTCAGCCGCGGTTGCCGCCAGAATCAAGCACGAACAAGTGCGCATCAATGCTGAAAATGCAGAGACTGCTGCCAATGAAGTTTCGTTCGCCGCCTTTGCTAAACGGATGGAATCGCAAGCGTCGTCAAAGTCATTCCCAAATGGGAAAGGTCCCTGTGCAAATCCCCAATGCACGGGGCGCGCGAAGCAATTCCACGACTGGGACCACTGCTATGGCCCAGGTGGGCGTATCAAGCCTCCACCAAAGTCAAAGGCAAAGCGTGGTGGATCTTCGCGCAAAGACAAGGCAAAAGTCGCCGTCGACAGTTCCGACGAGTCTGATGATGATGTAGCATCGTTTGCGAAAGACACGACAGGATATAGATCCTTCTTTGCTGACACCAACACACCTCGCGGCGAAACCACCTCCTTCGATTGGTCCACCGTGTCCGCGGACATAGCCCATTTGGCACGCAATGAGCCACACGTTCTCGCGGCTCATTTTGTACCTCGACACAGGCGCCACTAGCTCCATCTGTCCCATTCTCAAGTACTTCACCAAAATCACGCCATGCATGCGTACTGTGTCGGGTGTCGGGGGATCCTCGATTAAGGCCATCGGCATCGGGGAAGTCCGAATTCGCGTAGGCAAAGGGCGTCACTTCATCCTGAAGGATGTACTCTACTGCCCCCAGGCCACCGTTACCCTCATTTCTGTGGGAAAGCTTTGTGACGACGGGCACGATGCCACATTCAGCAGCAGTGGGTGCCTTATAAAGCGGACATCCGGAAAGGTGGTCGCCACGGGTACCCGCACCAGAACAGGCCTCTACACGCTCAACGCGGAGAAGGTCCTTTTCACCATGGTTTCTGATCCCGTTCTCGCAGCATCCTGCGCCGTTATTTACCAGTCGACATGCACGCTGGCGAACATCGCCACTAAAGCCCGTCCCACACTCAAAACCTTGCACCTGCGATTAGGACACGTCAACATCGAGACAGTCCTTGACATGGCTCGCGGATCCGCAGTGACCGGTATGGACGCCAATCTGTCAATCCTTCCCCCAAAATGCGCTGACTGCGTTCTTGGGAAGCAGAAGAAAAATCCCATTCGCAAGAAGCGTAAAGGGCCGCGCTCCACGAGAAAGCTGCAGAAAGTTTTCGCGGATCTTGCTGGACCTCAGGCAGTAGCTGCGCAAGGTGGATACTTGTACACACTCCAATTAATCGACGACTATTCGCATGAGCAATGGACCATCCTCTTGAAGCGAAAATCAGATGCTGCGAGAGAATTCAAAGGATGGCAGGCCATCGTCGAGGCCGAATCTGGACAGAAAGTCGGGATTCTTCGTGTGGACCTTGGAACAGAGTTTGATTCAGCAGGGTTCATTCAATACCTACGAGAACATGGGACTAAGAAAGAAACTTCTGCCCCCTACTCGTCAGCACAAATGGGCCTTATCGAACGTACCCACCACACTCTTATGAGTTGTGCTGTAGCGTCGCTCTCGTCAGCGAAGCTACCTCGGAATATGTGGGGCGAGATGATGCTCACTGAGACGTACATCAAGAACCGTACCTTGACCAGTGCGTTCCGAAAGCCCGACCAAACGCCACACGAGCGGTGGACCGATAAGAAGCCAGATCTCGCGCATATGCGTGAAATAGGCTGCCGTGCCTTCGTATTGAAACTCCCGAAGGCAAAGAATCCTAAAATCTTCAATCGCTCTGTGAATGTGTCATGGTGGGATACTCGCCATCTCTAACGGATACATACCGATGTTATGAGCACAAGACGGGGCGTATACACGTCACCCGCAATGTCGACTTCATCGAGTCCCAGGACGAAGTGTTGCATCCACTGAAAGGCACGAAATCAGCAAATACTGCACCACCCGCTGCCAATGGGGCGGCCAACGCTACGGACGTACCTGGACAGCGAACTGCAGCAGCTCCTCCCCCGGACCCATATGAACCCGCTTCCGAGGCTGAGGATGAGAGCAAAGCTGAGCCAGCGCCCGAAGTTGAGGAGGAAGTGCACGCACCTGAACCAGCTCAGAGAGTCGGCCGTCCAGCACGCACACGAAAGGCCCGCGGTGACGATGGTGCATTCCCTAGTGTTCAAAAAGATGCTGCCATTGCAGATGCTCGCGCCGCTGAGACGCGCGCAAAAGAGCGCCACGCGGAGGCGAAAATACGTAGGGCAACCGTCGAAGTTGTCCACGACGATGAAGCTCCCACCGCTGCCATCGAGGAGGAGCCTGTGCTGAATGCCGACGAAGACGAATATGAGTACTGGGCTTTTAGCGCAACTGCCTCGGATGATGAGCCTAAGACGTGGAAGCAGGCACAGAACTCACCTTTTGCCGAAGAATGGCGCGAGGCGTACCAAGCGGAACTCGACTCCATCAAACTCCACGGCGTTTACGAGCTTGTCCCTCGTGAATCAGTACCCCTGGGTCGCAAAATCATACGCTCGAGACCGGTCTTCAAGATCAAGCGCGGAAGTGACGGGGAAATCTTGAAATTCAAGGCTCGTTTGGTGTCTATGGGATATGCTCAGGTTGCTGGGCAGGACTACCGCGAAACATACGCACCTACATCGCGTTTTGAGTCCTTCCGGATGGTCCTGCATGCCGGTGCTTCCCTCGACTATGAAGTCGACCACGTTGATGTCAAGACAGCCTTCCACAACGGTCTGCTTGAGGAGGAGATCTGGCAGGAGCAGCCAAAGGGTTTTGAGGTTCCAGGTAAAGAGACATGGGTGTGGAAACTGAAGAGAGGA